GATAACGGGTTACCGTTGATGAAAATCTCTGCAAATGTATGAAGTGAAATCTAATTTAAATATCATGTTTACTAGTTTGTTGCCGAGGAACTTTTATTACGATGGAATTAAATACAGACGGGGGAAGTCGATCACCTATCGGCATACAGGTTATTCTGAAAATAGTGGCAATATGGGTCACTTGGGAACCCCCGCGAGTCTACGCACTCGACATATCCAGAATCCAGATCATTGACAAGAAAATCTGCTAAAAAAAACCCAAAAGTATTATAGGAAAAAGGACCAGGGTCTATAAGCGCGGTTCTTGGCAACTAAAATTTCAAGTTGAACGCATCTAAGAATTTTTTTTTAAATATTCTAGAGAACATTATGCATTTCAAATCTTCACCGACGCTTTTCTTTTTATTATAGCACCAGATTGATCTTTAAAAGCCGACAGTGTGCATTTTGGCATCTTTACAATAACAGTACTTCACAGGGCTGGAGATTGGCATAGCCATTTTTCACCCCCGCATGTGCAGCTAATGTAAATAAAATGATTCATTGAGGAAATACTATATGTGACTAGGGCATATCTTATACATCACATATAGGAACATGTAGCTGACAATTGTGATGCCAACAAAATTTTAAAAGATAATATTAATAAACACTTGTAGATTCGGTAAATTGTAAGTAGTTGTAAGTTATGTGTTATATGGTTGTTATCGTTACGACCACCATTTGTTTTGAAAAATCAAGTCATCAATTAAAAAGATGTCACAGCGAACAAATTTGATTAACAGAGACTTGTCAGATGTCGAAAGCCAGTGCATATTCCAAAGCAACCAGATATTTGTTGCTAAATTGCGTTCTTCATCTATTACATTAATTTTCTCGGACAATAGAACGGTTTTTATTTTTTTACTCAAAAATGGCGCATCGAAGGAAAATAATTTAGTAGAGATCATTTGTTTTAAATGAACATGGAATTCAAAAATAATTTTTATTCGGAAAAAAAAATTTGGCGTACCATTTTTTTCTTGAAAAATATAGAACAATTCCCGTACGCACGCCACTGTTAAAGCTAAAAATTATTTTTGCATTGAAAAATATGCATCTTTATTAACTTTCACTACGTACTAAATATCACTGATCAACAGCCAAAAAATATCCTAAATAAAATCAACAAAATATTAATATTTGTAATGTGCTAAACAATCCAGATCAGTTTTGTTACGTGTGTGGTGATGTGACTTTTGCGTCTCAGAGACGGTCTATTACTCCACCAATAACAAAGACATATCAGCTTTATTTCGGTTGTAAACTAGGTGATCAAGACAAACAGTGGGCACCCTACATCTGCTGTAACACATGTGCTTCAAGTCTGAGGAGCTGGTTAAATGGCAAAAAACGGTCTATGCGCTTTGCTGTCCCAATGATTTGGAGAGAGCCTACAAATCATATTAATGATTGTTACTTTTGCATGGTACCTTGTGTTGGACAAGCCACAGGTATGTCCAACGAAAAAAAATCGGTTATTAACTACCCAAACATACCATCTGCGATGAGACCTGTGCCTCACAGTGACGAAAGTCCTATTCCAAAACCCCCAATATTCAGAATTAAATGATCTTGTAAGAGATTTAGAACTTGGATCAAGACTGCAGCAGTGGAACTTGTTAGAAGACGATGTTTCGGTATGTGTCTTTCGTAAACTCCACAAAGACTTAGAACCATTTTTCAATATGGAGAATAACTTGGTTTTCTGCAGTAACATTAACGGCTTACTGGCGGCTTTAAATATAAACTATAACCCAGAAGAATGGAGATTGTTTATGGACAGTTCAACATTGAGTTTAAAGGCAGTGTTATTGCATATTGGAAATATTACACCATCTCTTCCTGTAGGGTATGCAGTTCACATGAAAGAATCGTATGACAATATGAAGTACCTATTGACATGCATAAAATACGATGAGCACCAATGGCATATTTGTGGCGATTTGAAAGTTGTTGCACTTTTACTTGGGCTGCAGCTAGGCGACAACAAAGTTTTGCTGTTTTTTGAGTGAATGGGACAGTCGGGCAAAGGCACTTCATTACACCAGACAAAACTGGCATGTTCGTCAATTCCTAGAGCCAGTTCAAAAAAATGTACAGCATATGCCATTAGTAGATTCGAAAAAAAAATGTATTACCACCACTGCATATCAAGTTGGGCCTAATGAAAAACTTTGTCAAGGCATTAGATAGAGATGGGTCAGCTTTTCAATACCTGCGTCAGAAATTTCCAAGACTAAGTGAGGCAAAGGTTAAAGAAGGTATTTTTGTTGGGCCACAGATTCGAAATATTTTGAAAGATACACAGTTTGGAAACACTTTAACAGGTATTGAAAAAACTGCTTGGAATGATTTCCTTCTGGTGGTCACTAATTTCTTGGGAAATAGAAAAGCTGACAACTATAAAACCCTTGTTAAAAATATGCTGTCATCGTATCAAAAGATGGGCTGTAATATGTCTCTTAAGATACATTTCCTACACTCACACCTGGACTTTTTTCCTGACAATTGCGGAGCCGTAAGTGATGAGCACGGCGAACGTTTTCATCAGGATATTTCAACAATGGAAAAAGGTACCAGGGAAAGTGGAATCCTTCCATGCTTGCAGACTACTGTTGGACTCTTGGTAGAGATGCTCCAGAAACGATCCATAAAAGAACAGCAAAAAGACAGCGCATACAGTGATTCTTATAAGTATATGAATCTTGTTACTTTTTGTAATATATCCTTAAAATTAAAAAGTTTTTTTTCTAAACCGCAACTAATTTTTTTATTCCATTGTCATTTTTGTATTCAGCGCCCCAAAATTAACAAAGAAGTGCACTTTTCCCACAAGATACAATTAAAAAACTAAAATTTGTTGTCCAGTGATATCAGCGAAATATCTGAAGCGGTTCTGAAAATATTAATTAAATTCCATTTTTCCCTAAAACTTCAACACCCCGAGTTTTTCTAAGCAAACATTTTTAAACCATAGCTTATAAAGCAAACTAACATTAACTTTTCATGTGGATCCACACCCTTAAATATTTGCATATCATTAAGGAACACCCAATTTAAGGATTCGGTACAGGAAACTGGAGATATTCGATACTAAGTGGTACATTATGGAGCAGTGGATCAAAAGTCGTCTTTTGTTGTTAATGTTTTTCTCTTACCTCATCGCGCATATCCTTCCTATTCAACTATAAAGCTTCAAAATAGTACCAAGAATAATACATCTCATTCTACAATACATGTTTGATAACAAATGGCGTAGTGCTGGAAGACAATATGCTCAGTACTGACGAATGGAACGTTTAGGTGGGAGAGAGAAAGTCCTGTTTCCATTACTAGGGCTCAAAATCGAATTCTGTTGCAATATCATTACTTCCTACGCGACTGGCTACGAAGTATTGTTCAGCAAAACTGAGGTATTATGGTTTTGAGTGTTATGTGACATCTACGAGGCGGTTCAATAAGTACACTTTTCCTAAAGTTTCTGCCAAAAAGCGAATTACGGAACGATACTGCTCTTTTTCCATCTGAGCGAAAATCACGAAACACGTGTTATTCGAGTGGCTGCCAAATCCCAACTAACCCATCAATCAGTCTGAAATTTGTTGTGCCGTCGTCTGGTAGATGGCAGCACACGATGATAACATTAACTTCTTTCAGCAACGCCCCCTGTCGTCAAACACGGGTACTTATTGAAGCGCCCTCGTATATTACAGAAAAATATGTCATTTACGTCGGTCAGTCTCTCGCTCTGTCGGACAGTTAATCTTTGACCCGTCTATAACTTGGAAAGCACAACTCTGAGTTTGATGTTTTTTTCTCAAAAAGGTTACTACTATCCCAAAAAACAAAAAAGCTTTATAGTGTTTAAAAATCGGTCCAGTAGTCCCTGAACTGAAGAAAAAATTAAAAATAAAATCGTTTTTCAAGGTTCAGAGGCGCCTGGATTTTTTGGATGGATTGAAAAATGGGGATTATCCAACCTCGGGTTATAATACATATCTATTAGACGTATTCCACACATTATAGATCTTACCATAAAAAAATTACAATTAGAATGATGAGAAACATATTTGGCACGCGTTTCTCTCTGAATTGGCCAGCGCGTCACAGTCTCTCCTTAATGTCCGTCACTGCCCTACTGCCGAGACTGACGAACGGTGAAATGTGAGGAGAGGGGCGACGTTGCCAGGTCTATGGACTAATTGAAGACATAAGTGGAAAAATAATATAATAACAAACTAATTAAACTAAATATTTAAAATGTCAATAAAGTAAAAGGGCCCAATAAAAAATCTTTAAAGTCAATTTTCTCCATAGAATGATTTTGTTACATGACACTTCTATCCACTTGTGTCTTCAATTGTATCAGCCTAATTGACTGACCAGCTAACTTTTTTCCTAGAAGCCCAACTTGTGATGAACATAGTCCTTGATGAAGAATGTAGAGTGCACCTACTTGACGCTATTTTTTGATGATAGCTGTGGAAAGTCCTTCGAACTTGAGGTTTCAACAAGACACACTTTAAGGGAGTAGCCGAAGACTGTGTGGGAATTTTGGTGGCCATATAGTTTTAGGGTGAATTTAGACTGCCCTCAGTCTTTTTTAGGATTTAGGTACGCCTGGGTTCTTTCTTTCTCGATATTTGAATGAATATGTCCGCCAATAAAAATTGTACACTTTAATGACAATAATCGTGAAGATCTCGCACTCACAAATCTAGCAAAAGGTTAGAGAAAACACTATGGTAGGACAAGAGAATGTGACCGACATTCAAAAGATACCATTCAGATCTAACTCCCCTATTAGTATAGCATAAAGTTAAAACAAATTTAATTTAACTATAGCTATAAAAGCCTGTTTTTCAGTTTCTTCAAACTATTATTTATTTAACTAGATATTTTACGTTCAATATCTGGTGTTGTTTCTCCCGAGGACAGGTTAAAGAAAACAACGTATCCTAATTTTTCGAAATATATTTTCATATTGAAACATTTCACTTCGTACATCAGGTATTACGACTCTAACTTATAACATACACTGTGTAATAAATAGTTGAATATGTACAGTTCGGCGAAAAGTACTGGCCAAAGTTGATATGACAGGAATGTACAGCAAGGGCCTAAATAATAGCGGCCAGTTTCTCGGGCCGAAAATATACAGCGACTCACAAATATTTGCGACACAACACTTCACTCATTCTAGGATGTTCCTTTTATTCTCTATCTCGAGTTGTTTACAAAACTTAACGATTTTTAAATTTTGGTATCAGAAGTGGGATGTGCGCAAGCATTTGGCGTACCCTCGTATACAGAGACGGCCGCTACCATTGCAATTCTCAGTCTCAACATATAAATCTATATACAAATATACAAAGTAATAATAATAATAAACTCAATAATCGATAATAATAATTCATAAGGAAAAAGTTAAACATTGCTTTGGTATCAGTTACACGAACAACGTGGTTGTCACTCCTAAATAGCTTTTTAATGTTAGTCCAGGAAACTTATATCAAACAGTAAGTGAACCACATAGAAATCTATAACGGAAAATGAGGAGATAGTGGTTAAAATTGTCCATAATATGTAGTAAAAAAGGAATAGGATGAAAATAAAGTAGTTTGATATTTCATAGTTCACGTTCATTACAAATATCTGAATTATATTACCTCATTTTCTATCATAGACTTGACTGGTTGAAATACCATACATATACTCGTAGTTAATTTGACGATACCCTGTATTAACACATAGTGAGCTAGTTGCAATTATTTTGTTGTATTTTGCTATGTGCCTGTATTTTAAGATAATTTTATACCTTATATAAATCGAAAACTTGCAGATAGTTTGATACCTACCTATGTAAAATTCCAAAAATTCCTGGACTATATATAATGGAGGACCACTTCACTTTTTAATACTATAAACATCGGAAACCTTATACTATAACATCAGAATGAGTAGCGTAACTTTCAACTTGACAGAAACTGTCTTGTGATATCCTACATAATTTCTAGATTTCCAGCAGGTAGTGAAAAACTTTTTTGATTTGGTGAGCTCCAGATTTTTATTAGAAATCTGAAAAATTGACATTTATCAAACTGGGTTTTCAGCAAATACTATAAGTAAAAAATTCTTTGCCGCTACACCTCGTATACCAAAGGAAAACTAATATTTGCCAACATGTCTTTTACGACGCTACGCTATTGTTACAATACGAGGAACACAGAATTTATCAATAACAGGAATGCTTTTATTACAATTATTTATATTTATATAAAAAAGTATCAGGCAAATATCAGTCTTCTCAGAAAATATGTGGGACCCAGAGGATCATATTTCTGTCTTTTTAAAGTTCCGTTATCCAGTCTACCTTTGCTGGATTGGGAGGTTTGAGTTCGACAGTGGCATTTGACAACCTGTCAAATTAAGGCGGACCGAATTTCAACATGTTCAGATGACTGCTTAAGTTAATTTTGTACTATTGAAGACGGTGAATCTGATGACATTCAATAGCGTATTGTCACAACTGTTTACATAAGATTTTGACTAAAATTTATTTAATACCTTTCATGACATGTAGTCGAATGTTAAATCAATTCGTGCGTTCTAATTGTATTCCAAAGCTTTCCTAATGACTTGACTATGCAGAATAACCAATAGAACAGTTGACTAGGTAGGACGTATGAAATAATAAAAAAGGTACGTTGTTTTTACGTGTTGAACATACACGAGATATCAATTTGGCTTGACTAAAAATGGTTAAGTGCTCTTAGGTTTTTAAACTTGATATTATAGTGATACCTTCGGAGTTTCCAAGGACATTCTTTATTACATCATCTCCACCTGTCTCAACCTTTGACCAGTTGTGCCTCAATACGTCACTGCCAACACAAACCACCCAATTCTGTGCCTACAGAACCGTCTCACGACCATTCCGCACAAAAACCAACGAAAACCACCTTTCACAACAAGAATTCACCTAAGGGGGAGGAGGCCTCGAAGTGGACCGCCCCTTGCGGACGGTACCACCCTTTGAGAGCGGCACCGCCTTTTGGAAGCGGTACCATCCCTCTCAGTACTACCCTTTGGAAGCGGTACTACATCTTAGAGGCGGTGTCTTTGAATGGGTACAGCCTTTGGGGCCAGTACCGCCTCTTAGAGCTAGAACCACCTTTTGAGGGAAGTACCACCTCCAGGAGGCGGTACTACTTTTGGAAGTGGTACCATCTTTTGAAGGTGTCACCCATTTTGTAAGCGGTACTACCTCCTGGCGATGGTGCCACCTTCGGGAGTGGTAATGACTCTGGGGGCGGTACTACTGCCTTTTGGGGGTTAGCTGCCTCTGGGGGGCGTGACTAGTACGTCAAACTGGGAGGAGCTGGTGGGAGGCGTGGCATCCCTCCAGCCCACGGAAAGAGTCATGCGGCCTCCTTTGATGTGATGCTCGTGGAGGAGTCCTCGTCGCCGGACAGCATGGGTAATGTGCTCAACAGGTGGCCCTTGCCTTGGTTCACCACGCATTTGCGCATGTGCTTCTCCAACGTCGACGGGACTGAAAAGGGCATCTCGCAGAAACGACATCTGAAACAAATGAAAAATACGAATACAGTCGGACAATCTTTAGCTGGGCTGTGTGAATGTACTTGGGCAAACAACGTTGTTTTATGCTTATTAAGAGTCATCAGTACGGTGCAGGTCTGGTCGTTGGATGGAAAGCCAACAAGCAGATATGTGTATGATAGCCAGCTCTTCTAACTTTACCTAGTCACCATACGTATTACAAACGCGATGCATACTAGCATAGAACAAGGTTAATCTGCTCCTACGTTGTGCTGGATACATCATATAATATACAGGGTGTAAACTTTATGGTAGTCATTATTGAAGTGGGTAATAGGGGGGGGTCAAAATAAGTCAAAGAGTTCATATGGTCCATGGTCCAAAAGTCAATAGATTTTTGTCTAAATGGCTTTATAGGTTACAAGTTTAAGTGTTTTACATCGACCACAAACACAACAATCTTACTAATTTTTATAATCTAATCTTAAAACACACATGACAACATCGCGTCGGTCTTTCATCACTATTATCGAACCGGCAATAGATCGCAAACGGTAACAATGGTTAGTTATCGTTTTGCATAGATAAATTACTTTATCGTTTTGTCGTGCAGGGCATCGGGCGTGTTGTTTTGTTTTTGTTCGCGTACGTCGTCGTGTTTATTTACAATGTTCTCGAATCAAGAGTTCGCCGACATGTTGTTAGTTTACGGTGAAGCTCGTCAGAATTCAAATCTTGCAGCTCAAATCTATCGCGACAGATTTCGCCAACGGGTACACCCAGACAGAAAGACATTTGTGCAAGTGTACCTAAGACTTCGAGATACAGGAAGTGTTCAGCCCACTAATATTCGCACTCGTGAAAGACAGGTTACTGTAGAGCAGGAGGAACAAATTTTAAATGTCACGCGGGAATTGGCCCCCTCTATCACCCGTTTAAATAATGACTATCATAACGTTTACCCCTGTAGCGGGCAAAGCTCTTAAGTACTCTTACAACAACGTTTCCTCTAAATACATTACATTTTTTACACTTACCGATAAACGTCTTTTCCTATCCTGCCATGGGTCTTCATATGCCTTGTCAGCTTCGAACTTTGCGCACAAGCATAGGAACATAGCTCACACTTGTAAGGTTTCTCTCCAGTATGAGATCGCCTGTGCACCGTCAAGTTAGAACAATTTTTGAACACCTGCAACAGAGATCAAACATCAGTGGAAGTGGAAATACATGAAAGATTCTAATATCTTCAGGTACCAAAATGGAATGTAGTAGCGTACGCCACTGTCTTTGTGCACTTGTCACTATCAGATATAAGCCCCACGGTACCTGATGGGTGTTAAGGCCTTAGGCCTTCGTGGTAGTTGGAGTATAAAAAAAAATGGTAAACCGTTTAGAAATGTTCACATATGTACCTTCCCGCAGTATTCACAGGTATCGTTCCTCCTGGACTCCTTCTTCAGCAGCGGGTTGGGAAGGAGGGCGCTAGGTCCTGGTCCTCCTTTTACATCTCTGGGAAGCCCAGGCAGCCACCACTCGCCACGTTCCATGTCCAGTTTGAGCCTTTTCGAGGCTTCACTTAGAGGATCGTTGAACGGAGGAAACAAAGGCAGTGGCTGCGGTGGGGGGACCGGCAACAGGCCTTTGGCGAACTCCTCGCGTACCTGGAAAGAGGAAATTGCGTCAAGTAGGTTGACTCAGGAACACTTAGTTGAGGCGTATGCAGGAATTTTATGCAATCCATTGATTAAATGAATACAATAGAAGCCTTGAGTAGCCTGACTCGCATCAGGAAGTATAGATAAACGGCGTCGAGTAGGTTAACTCAGAAGGCATTATTTGTGGCGTACGTTGATTCAGTAAAGTAGATAGTGTCAGGTAGCATGACTCGGACTGCTGCGATGTATAGATTGGGAGATTGGAAAGTGGTATAAAATAAGTTATAAGAATTGTTAGAATAATAGATAAATCAGGTATGGGTATGACGTAAGTTGGTTGACTTATGAGGATGAGGAATTAATAGGTAGCCGTCAAGTAAGTTGACTCACAAGACGTATTTGTGGCGTATTTTATAGAATATGTTGCTACAATATTGAAAAAATCAGGTAGATGAACATTGTCAAGTAGCATGACTCTGACTACTATGTAGTATTGAGATACTGAAGAGTCGCGTAAAGTAAATTGAATGTGGTAATTTCATGGAACAGATTCAAAGAATATTGAATAAAACAGGTATGGATATAACGTTAAGTAGACTCACACTATGATGACCAGAATTGAGATATTGAAGGTGGTGTCAAGTCGGTTGACTAAGGAAGCAGTATCTGTGGTGTATGTGAAAATGCTAAAATGATTAAATCGAATAAAAAATACGGTTAAGTAGCGTCAAATACGTTGAAGCAAAAGGCATTACATTTGACGTAAGTTGAAATTTCAATGGAAATTAAAGAGTAACGAATCACCTCGATGAACAGATATTAGGCATATTAGACTCTTAAGGGCTACAAAGTGTGATGCCAAGTAGATTCACTCCGGCCTGTGGATTATTAGCTTAGGAATCTGATAAAGGGGAAACGTGAAAAAGATGGACTCAGACATTTGGTACTAAAATTGCAAAGAGTATAATGAATAATTTGCATCAAGTAGATTAACTCAGATCGCTTATATCTAAAACTTCTTACCTTCAACTGCGTGGAGAGACTGTTATTGTTGTCTCTATCTTTGGTGGCGGCGAGTTGCAGCTTGAGCGCGGTGTTGGACTCTTGCAACGCTTGTTTGTAAGCTTCGCTGTACTGTGCGATGTTGCTCAGCCCGAACTTATCCATCAGTTCCCCCACCAATGAAGCTGATGGATTCGGCTCGTTTTTTGGAATCTGGAACAACGACATTATTCAAAATATGGTTTTCGTTGCAAATGATGAGGTGAAATAGTAAAATAGAGCGAACAAGTTCGAGACTGACCTGGTGACTTGGTATGCTCAAATCTTCCGCTTCTTCCTCCTCAAGATCGTCTTCGTCTTCCTCTTCTTCTTCCATATCTTCGTCTTCTTCACTATCATCGCCATCCAGAGTTTCTACTGAACCTGCATTGCTAGTCCGGTCGTCTGATGTTCTGTGTAACTTCATATGCCTGTAAAGACGTTTTTGTAAGTCCCAAAGTCAACTTCAGTCAATCATAGTTTTAGGGTGTGCGCCCACATGTCCGCATTAAACGGATTCTAGAAGATTGCCGATCAGCACTTGGAAAGAAGAGATTTGAAGGAACAAACCTTTTCAGTTTGGAGCTTTGTGCGCATACGTGGTCACATACAGTGCACTTGTAAGGTAGTTCGCCCGTGTGGGTTCTTCGATGAGTGTCCAGGTTTTGTTGATGTCTGAACTTCTTCCCGCAGTAGTCGCAGGTGTGCAGCAGCTCGGTGTTGCTGGTGGGCGTATGGGAGTTCCTGGGACTGCTGGGTTTCGTCGGAGGAGTTGAAGCTAATCTGGAAGGAGGAGGACTGTGAGGTTGATCAGTGAGTAAACACACACCGTGGAAAATGTACGGTGGGAAATAAAATGTTGATGGTTTGAATAATTTTTGAGATCCTTCAAATTTTCGAGGTTTTCGAGATTTGTGAAATTTTGGAAATTTTCGAAAGTCTGGAGTTTCTCGAGATGTAAGATATTTTTCATTTTGCCGAAATTTAAAAAACCTTCGACAATCTTTATTTTCGACAGTTTTTTCCGATTTTCGAAAATTTCGAGATTTTTGAGGATACCGAAATTTTTGTAAATGTTAAGATTCTCGAGATTTTCGAGAAATTGGAATACTGACGAAATTTTTGAGCTGTTAATATCTTCGAGGTTTTTGAGACTCCGATGTTTCCGAAGTTCTCAAAATCTGATTAGTGGTTTTGGAGATATCTGGGTTTTCAAATTTCATAAAATATTCTAGATTTTATTTTTTCAAAAATTTCGAGATTTTCTGGCAGTTTTCTAGATTTTTGACAACTATTTTCAATTTGTTCTAATCATATATATATATATATATAATAAGGATATAAAAAATTTCGAGATTCTCTGAATTTTAAGGGTTTTCGAGACTTGCGAGCCTTTAGGAAAATTCAAATGTCTCCAGTTTCTCGAAATTTAGGATATTTTCCAATTTATCAGGGTTTCAAAATTTTTCGAGTTTTCCAGTGTCCCCGTTAGTATCAAGATTTTCCGATTTTCAAAAATTTCGAGATTTTTCTGGTGATCGAAACTTTCGACGATGTTGAGATTCTCGAAATTTTTAAGAATCTGGAATGCTGAATGGAATTTTTGAATTGTTGAGATCTTCGAGGTTTTCGAGATTTCGAGATTTTGGACGTTCTTAAGAGTTTCTATATTATAGGAAATTTAAATTTTTTATATTTTAGACATTTCCGAGATCTTTGATCATGATTTTTGATCATTTTTCTAGATTACTGAGATCGGCTATTTCAATGTTTTTCGAAGTTTCAGTGATTTTATACATTCGGGTAATATAAACAAATTTAGAAGTTTCAGGCACATCGAAAATTTAAAAGAAAATAAGACGCCTAGAAAATTACAAAAATGTCTTCTTACTTTATTTATTAGTAAAAAGTTTTCATTAATATTAAGTTTTTTAAAATCTGATATTTGAAATAAACACCAATTATTTCAATATATACAGGATTTCCTGAAAGCACAATATTTTCAAGGTGAAAAAGATTCCAAAGTTTCACAAATTTACGAAACTAAAAAATAAAATTTCAAAAATGTTAAGGTTCTCGAGATTTTCGAGAATTTGGAATACTCACGAAATATTTGAGCTGTTAACATCTTCTAGGTTTTTGAGATTCCGATGTTTTCCAAGTTATCAAAATTTGATCAGTGGTTCTGGAGATATCTGGGTTTTCAAATTTCATAAAATATTCTAGATTCTATTTTTTCAAAAATTTCGAGATTTTCCAGCAGTTTTCTAGATTTTTGACATAATAGGAGACGAACCTGCCGAATTTTCGAAAAATTCAATGCTTACGCACGATATCGAGCAATTAAAAAATATATCCAAAAAATTTTAAAATCTTTACGGTTTTTAACGTTTTTCAAATCTGACTTTTAAAATAAATACCAAATTTATCAATATTTACAAGCTCTAGATTTTCAAAGTGAAAAAAATGTTTAATTCACCAAGACGTTCAAAACTAAAAAATAGAAAAAAGTATCTATAGTTCAACTATTTTCAATTTGTTCTAATCATATATATAATAACGATATCAAAAATTTAAGGGTTTAGGAAAATTCAAATGTCTCCAGTTTCTCGAAATTTAGAATATTTTCCAATTTATCAGGGTTTCAAAATTTTCCGATTTTCAAAAATTTCGAGATTTATCAGGTGATCGAAACTTTCGACAATCTTGAGGTTCTCGAAATTTTTAAGAATTTCGAATTCTGAGTGGAATTTTTGAATTGTTGAGATCTTCGAGATTCAGAGATTTTGGAAGGTCTCAAGACTTTCGATATTATGGGAAATTTAATTTTTTCTTATATTTTCGACATTTCCGAGATCTTCGAAGTCTGGGAAATATTTGAGTTCTTACGATTCTATAAAATGTTCGAGATTTTATTTTTTCAAAAATTTCGAGATTATTCAAATTCATGATTTTCGATCATCTTTATAGATTTTTTAGATCGGCTACTTCAATGTTTTTCGAAGTTTCAAGGCTTCAAGTGTTCAGTGATTTTATACATTCGGGTAATATAAACAAATTTAGAAGTTTCAAGCACATTGAAAATTTAAAAGAAAATAAGACGCCTAGAAAATTACAAAAATGTTTTCTTACTTTTTTTATTAATATAGTTTTCATTAATATTAAGTTTTTCAAAATCTGATATTTAAAATAAACACCAATTATTTCAATATATACAGGATTTCCTGAAAGCACAATATTTTCAAAGTGAAAAAAAAATTCCAAACTTTCAAAAATTTACAAAACTAAAAAATAAAATTTCAAAAATTCCTGAAGTTTTCTAAATTTCAACTATTACCAATTTTCTAAGCATCTCGAGAATTTCGAGGAAAATATGTACTAACAATTTGGAGAATTCCTATTTAGATTTCGAGAATTCTGAAAATTTGTAGTCTTTCGAGAATATCGAGGATTTCAAAAAATTCTTGCCAAATATCTAAAATTTTCATTTTGCTTACGCTTACCTAGGAATATCCAACGTATCCGTCACAATAGTTTTCCCCTCTGGCGAAGTACTCGGCGGCCGCGAACTACCACTGCTATTGTTGTTATTGTTGTGATGGACGGCGACACCGTTGCTGCCGTTCGAGGAGCTGGAGGAAGTGTTGTTGGTGTTGGGCTGCGAGGAGGAGGTTAAGGAAGGTGCTGGGGTCGCCATTGACGGCGGCATGGTCGCCGTTTGTTGTTGGGGCGGCGGTTGTTGGGGTTGTTGTTGAGGGGATGGGCTCGCGAACGGCGGTGAGTGCTTCCGGGGCGAGGGGGAGCCTACCAATGCTGACGCCACCGGACTGGTTGTTCCTGAAAAAAAATCAGAAGTCAGAAGAAATCAAAATTTCGAGAAGTTCGAATATTTCGGCAATTTCAAAAGTTCCGAGAATTTCAGAAGTTTTCGGGAGTTTCAATTATAACGAGCACAACAAAAATTTCGAGAATTTGAAGCGCTCCCAGATTGTTTTGAAATCGAGAATCACTAGTTTAAATAATTTCAGTGACTACAAAATTTAGGGAATCTTGAGGGACTCGAGAATTTTAGGAAATTTCACAACTTCGTGAGCTTCGATAATATTTTGATTCTCGAGAAAATTTCAAGCAATTTAAGAACTTTGAGAAAATTGGGAATTGCGATAATTTTGAGGATAAATTCAATATCGATAACTTTGAGAAACAAAAGAGATTTTCGAGAATTTCTAGGGCTTGAGGCATTAAAGAAAATTTCGTTTTGAGGATAATGTCAATGTTGTTAACTTCGAGAATTATATAAATTGGAGCACTTGGATATTCGAGAAATTTTAGAAATGCCGGTAAGTTCGAGAATCTCAAGAATGTTAAAAATTCGGTTATTTTAAGATTTCAGAAAATTAGGTAATTTCTATTGCTACGAGAATCACTGTGTTTTCGAGGAACATCGCCAATTTCGACAATCCCGATAATGTCGGATATTCCGGGTGTTTTGATAGTTTTAGAAATTTCGAGAATTTGAAGATATCCGAATCTCGAAATTTTCGAGAAATGATAACTCGGGAACTTCGAGAATTATAAAAAACTGACAATTTAGAGTTTTGTCAATCTCGACAATTTCTACAAGTTTGTCACCTTTGCCAATTTCGAGAATAGCGAGAATTTTGTAAATTTCGAGAGTTTTAAGAATTTCGGGTATTGTTTGAAGAATTCTGAAAATTTGTAGACTTTCGAGAATACCGAGGATTTTAAATCATATAATTTCAAATGTTATCAAACATAACAACACAACACTCACCTGCCAATTGCCTCAACCGCTGCGAGTAAAAATCCAGTTGTGGTTCGATTTGGTGGTTGGGGGTGGATCGGTCCCTGCAGCCTCCAGCTAGGCCTCCTCCCCTTTCGGCTGGGGATGGTGGAAAACCCGCCGCCGAATGAGGGGGTGGGGCAGGTGGGTGCGGTGGTACCGAACCGGCCGCGACTGCTGCAGCTGCGGCTGCCAGGTTGAGACCATGGTGGCGGAACTGCTCGCTTACTAGTTGGTCGATGCGATAGTGGTGTTCAGGTCGGCCGAATAGGGGTGCGGGCGGTACCGGGCCGTGACCTGTCAACGGAGGAAGGGGTAACCTGGAACAAATAGCAAATATTGTACTTTAGGAACCAAGTATGGTGAAGAAAGTGCTGGAGATGCTTGACATCAACAAACCTGAAACTTGCTTTCAAGGAGTACCTCGGGGCTCCTTGGACGAGAATAATAATGATATTTGTTGACCGATCCACAATCAGGTGTTAAGAAAATCCGTCTTTTAGATCAATGAACATGAGAGAGTACCTCAGACCTCCTTTGATGGAGTTGGACCTCCCTGGATAACCTCTTAGTCTCATAAGTAAGCCATATCTCATTCACTTGCTTTGGAACTTCAGGTCTGTCTGAATGGATTCTGATTTCCTTCCAGATAGATAGAAAACGTCTTGCTTATGTTGGGATCTCCTTGAACGAATTGCCTTTGGACCTGGGATCTTGCTATCACTGATCAGCTGAAGTACTGAAGAAATGCGTCAATAGGGAACTTCTGATGAAGTGAGCGCTTCCAGCCAGTTGTCATCCAATGACCTCCATTTAAAGAAGCTTCTTAAACGGATGATGAACTACCTTCCCACTCGGAAGGTATCAGTTGTACCACAGCATCAATTGGGTACTCACCAAGGATCTATTTCAGACACAATATCGCAATGTCTACATGTCAATTAACATCTATCGCTGTTTCTTACCTCAAGAGACCTCCAACTCCAAAAGGATTGTGTAGCTCAGGAGGCGGCAACAGATGATGCCTCATGTTGTGAGGTTGAGGTGGAGGTCCACCCCCACTACTCGAGCACCCCGATGAGGTACTGCTGGAACTACTACCGCTGCTGTTGATGTTGGTTGTCTTGGAGTTTGTCGTTGGTGAACATTCCACGTAGATTTTGATGCCGTGAGCATGTTGTACATGTTGGACTAGCCTCCATGCGGAATGGAGACGGGCTTTGCACGTGCAGCACACGTAGTTGCTGGGTTCTGTAACAATAAAGAGGATTTTACTTTGGAGCTGGAGCGAAAAAGGTTGAACGTAGATCTGTGAAGGCCTTTGAACAGTAAGACCCGGATTTTCAATCGCTTTGGTTCGACAACTATAACTTGGAAGTCAACAACATATAAACCATTGATGCAGCTTTAATTTAGACATTGCGGTTTGAATACAACTTATAGCTATTTCATACATGGCCATCAGGTTGAACATTCCACCGCTTTAGAGGAAATTTGATATTGCAAAAACGCTTTTAAAAGTCAACTTCTGGTTAGAAGTCAAGTTGCAGTTAACTTGCGATTGAAACACCTTAGAGACATTTTGTATGATAAGATCATAAGAACTGCAAATAAACATATCAAGGCTTTTAATGTAGAAGATGGTTTTGTCTAAAATTGTAGTTTAAGTTCAAGCAGTGAGAAAGCTGGTTCTACATTATGGTGGCTGAAGATTTGGAGTTAGATCGGAATAGGTTGAACACAGATATGTGGATATCTCTAAAGACCAAAATATAAATAAATCAAAATGTACAACTTTATCTTATGTCTAAGATTGAACTTAGTAGCAATTGTAGTTAGTTTTTCGTTGTGCAAGCTCTAAATATCCTATCGTAAGTTTACCAGAGGGAGAGAGAGAGAGACGAGCAAGTCATTGAGACAGCAGATCACTAAGGCTGGGACTACACCAGAGAGAGTGGGTTTACCGTGGAAATCACGCTAAGAAAACGAATGTTATTTATATACCCTTAGTCATTTTGATCACTTCATGTCAAATTCCATCAGGCCGTTTGGGCTGTAGCCGTGAAATTGGTATTTCAAAGTTATTTCTTGGGATAAAAGTAGCCCATGTACTATTCCAGGCTATAGTATACCTCTGTCCCAAGTGTCATCTATATCCGTTCAGTAATTTTCGCAAATATCCTTCCACATTGGTCCAGTTTTGTTCAAATTACTTGTTAATGATGTTGCAGAATATATATCAAATAGCAGTCATTTGATTTTTGCAGATGATCTGAAATTATTTATTCAGAACAGTTAGAAAAATCCACGATGCGAAGATCTGACAAAGAGATCTCATAAATCTTACTCGGTGTTGTAGTACTAATAAGATCAACGTCAATTTTAATAAATGCTTCCAGATAAGCTTCAGCTGTAGTCCACATTCTGTCATGTATGAATAAACATCTGGAAAACATCACCTCATGAAGACTGATACAGTTAGGGTTTTGGGAATAACGTTTGATACAAAATTAACTCACAGAGAAATTATTCCTAAAGCATGTGCAAGTTTTTACTGCTCTTTGATGACGAGTATTTTGGAGTACAATATAGTATGAAATAAATCTTAATGTTAATGAAAGACAGATCTGTTTACGAATCCACATCATTCTACCAATTGTGGTATGAATGGTTATTAAAATTCTTAGATCTGGCAGCGCCGCTACAATATAAATATTATCAGTAACACGTTTCTATTTAACTTTAGTTTGTTTGGTTTCAAACATAAGTAGATCGAATATCTAATGAATCTTTAGTTCTTCTTTAGGTTAATAATTTATATAGACTTCTTGCAATCTAGCACGTAAATGTAATGTGTTTGTATGTGATGGGAAACCGTTGGTAAATAAATAATAACCTTAGTTAGACAATAGCCAACGACTGAAATTTCTAGATCTAAAACATATTAAATTGATATTTCCAGCAAAATTTTTCATTGCCCCGCAATATATTCCTTCCATAAGTCGAACCTCCCCGCATAATTTCTCGAACTGCCCTCCTCAAATACCACTATTAACACATGTAACAACTGTTGGAAATGCTCCGGGATTCTCATTGAAATTCTGATCGGCTAGAAAGCAGCAGGACCCTATCAACGTTGATATATATTTTTTTGTTGTGAAATTCACCCCACATATTAAATTTTTTTAACCGCGGCGAAACACAATACAAGATTATGAATTTTGCTCGGGGGGAGGCAAGTGCCGAACATCGATCAGGATTAGGTACATATTTTTGCGCCTTTTTAATATAAATGTATGAGGGAGAATCAGTTTTATCTTAACTATGTGTGGCCTACTTACTTGGCTTTTGAGTGTGTCCTGACCAGGGTTTTTTATTTCTCGGAGCACAAGGCATCATCAAGGCATCATTCCTTTTGCGCGAAAATATGCAAAAAAGGTGAATGTATCATATACCTTATAGACACACGCACCATATTTTTAATTTATCAGGTATTACAGGTAAGGCAGGTATGAGCATACACCATATATTTAAAAATTCTCAGACGCTGAATTGACGTCGATGCTTTCAGGATTTTCTGAATGAAAAACCTGCCAGCATTGAACTCCTATTTTTCAAAATATTTAGAATATTAGAAGATTCAACTAAACCTACATATCTTCTAAAGATTTGTTAGCATTCTTATGACTGCACCCTTCGATAGGAAACTTTTACAATTTCATCTGTTAGAAAACAACCAACCCTTAACCCCACGTCATAAGCATTTGCGTTTCACCCTTTATTTCTTGTCACCGTTGATTGACACCGCGTTGGTGTCGAAGACAGTATTGGATATTTGGCCCTGAGGCGGCGTTGGAAATATGACAGTTTGTTAATTTAAACGCCTAAGGCAGGTGACATTCGACACCAGTGCCAACAGTGGAGATTCTTTCGCTGGCTTTATTTATCAAGTATTAGTTTCGTCGGGAAAAAGATTTATTGGGAGTCTCGGATTTCGAGCGAATGTTCTCTGGAAAAATTAATTAGCTAAGTGGATATCAAACAAAGGAAAGTTTTGTAGTTTGCATACTTTGCGATTCAATATTTTACTGAAGTTGCGAGTTTGCTGCGTAGCAGTGTGATGACTTGCTGCTAGCAACTTCGACAATAATGAAATTAACATTAATGTGTCGATTTGAGGCGAAATATATAGAAAATTGGGGTCACGACGTGCTTTTAAGCGACTTATAGCAGCCTTGAAGTCCTGGTATTTAGGCGCCTACCTACGCGAGTACTCGCTACAAAAACAGTTAAGGTGAGCTTTCAACGACGGATAGGTTTAAATATCCAGTATTATGGAATCTATTTGTCTAGACAATAACAAACTTTCAGATATACCACGATATACCCTGAGGCACTCCCGATTTAGTTATATACTGGTACGACTTGAATCCATTAAAAGTACAATATTGCCTCCTTTCATGAAGATAACTTTGAATGTGTGCTAAAGCTCATTATGGAATCCATAATTAAAAAGATTATTTAAAAGTATGACATGGTCCACCCTATCGAACGCTTTAGCAAAATCGGTATATACTACATCTAGTTGACCTTGCCGATCGACACATTCAATAGCGAACTGAGTAAAGATTGTTAAATTAGTTACTGTGGATCTCTTAGTAAGAAAACCATGCTGAAAGGGGACACAGATCTATGAACTGCGGAGTAAATTCTATTATGCAATATTATCTCCAGCAATTTGGAGAAATTTGACAAAATTGCCACCGCTCTATAGTTTTTAATATCAGTATTATCCCCTGATTTGAAAATAGGTGTCGCTCTAGAAAGTTTCCACGTGTCAGGGAATGTGTTGGTTTCTATAGTCGGACTGTAAATTTTTAATAACGGCTTAACAAAGACATGAATACAATCTTTATCTATGAACGAGGGGATGTTGTCTGTTACTATATTCTTGAGTTTTTTAGATGCAGCAGTAATCTCATTTTCATGAATGTCCTTGAAAAATATGTTAACACAACTAGTAGGATTCCTGCCTTAAATAAAATGATTACGAGTACATGAATCAACAAAAGCACTATTAAAAAAATCTGCAAAGGCATTGACAGCACAGTAAGGATCGTTCAGTGAGTCGTTATTGAACTTCAATTTACCAGGAATCCTAGTCGTATAACTAATTATAGTTTTTAAATCAAAAAATCCCTGGAGTGGAGCAAGATATTGTACAATATAGTACATCACATCCAATGCATACAAAAAATTTGGAGCCGGAGGCTGCACAGAAGAAAATGCAATTTTTTACTCCATTGACTTTTTTTGAAACGATCGTTGCATTTTTGAATAAGGCAGGTATCCATTTTACACGCATCACCTGTATTGAAAAATATTTGACAGACTACTTCCTTTGGAGAAAAATTTAATTGAATATTTTTGGTGAAATCCGCATAAAAAACATGTCTGTTCTACTTTGAAAATACGCTGAACTTGGCGAAGCTTGAGATGTAAAATCGTATGTAATATATTGAAGGATAATGCTGTTTAACCATTGCGTCATTTGAACAATGTTCGTGTTTTGTCCTTAACCGGTCTCATCAGTGGCGTAAAAGTTTACATTACCCTGTGTCTTGACAATGGGACATTCTTTCTGAAGTATGTTCTACCTCAGATATATTGCTAAGTTTTTTAGAAAGAAAAGCATCGGCGGGAAGTTCCTAGGGCTAAGAATTTTTAAATATAGGGTGAGTGTACCTTTCCTAACATTTTAGGTATCACATTCACCACTTTTTAGGCTCCCTGGTTTCTTAAGAATTTGGTCGTAAAGCGTAAAGCGTTCGACGTAAAAGACCAGAAAGGAGAACCAATATTTCCCATTTGCTATTCATCACAAGCATTCTTGTTTGTTTTGTAAAAAATCTTCACCTCGAATTTCACCCTTAATTTGGCGACCTCGCCAAATATTCATATGGGGCCCCTCACGCTACGCTACTGTACAAAAGTCCTTTTTTGTGAGTTCGCTGGTAGACCGGCCCTGGCCAGATTTATCTCCAGCCCTTTCAAAGACGCTAAGGAGGGCGAAGGGCAAGGAACAAGGAGCGGAGTGTCCCTTGAATATCCGATACGGCTTTGGACTGCGCGCGGACCGCACAAAAGAAAGTGCGGGGGCTTAAAAATTTGAATATCGTGGTCATTCTGTATGGGCGTTATCTCAGTTCGGTCTCTGCGGACAGACCATTCACTCTTATGACGGATGGCTTT